CCCCCCCCGTCCGGTAGAAAAAGTTAAATAAAAACGAACTCGTGTGTTGTCGTCCAATTTGCCCACCAAGATTTAGTCATCGTTGAAAATGTCACTCAGATGCCTTCTTCTGTCCAAGGAATAGCGGTAGGGCCTACACGTTTAGTTGAGATTTCCCTTCTAAAATAATTTGAAGAAAAAAGCTAAGTAATGAAGGTGTTTTACGACCTCATCGACATAATTTAGATCATTTTGCAGGCGGGCTTCCGACCTTGCCTGTCAGGGCCAACCCGAGCTGAGAGGGATACAACATCCCAGCAGACAGACCCGAGCTGAGAGGGATACAACATCCCAGCAGACAGACCCGAGCTGAGAGGGATACAACATTCCAGCAAAAAAAAAAAAAACTTAAATACTTGTTAAAAGTTTTTACCCACTCGGGAATCGACCTTGGGTCTCCTGTGTGCGAAAGCGAAGCGCCTAACTGCTGTTCCAAAGACGCTGGTAAATGATTTGAAAATTGTCTTATGCCCATGACGTCATGGCAAACCTTTTGTTGACCCAACAGAAAGTTGAGACCCTGTTGTGTGTAGTAGACGAAGACAGTTCCGATTGTAAACTCAACTAGACAGTTATCGGAAGAGGCCTCTTTTGTCCCTCCATAAATAGTGGACCTGACTAACCACAAACATTTTCTAGTATTACTACAACGTTCATTCATCTCTTGGCTTTTTTTTTCGTTCAAGTGTTGTTGTTTTTTTTGTTTTGTTTTGTTTTGTTTTTTCTCTTCCACCGTTCTCCTCTGAAAGTGCGATGCTTTCACCCATTTCGTCACCCACCCCACATTTCCATTATCCGGACAAATGAGAGAGTTCATTCATGATTCGAAGTTTTTCGTTCATTGGTCCGTTGATTAATTGATTGGTTGATTAAAGTATCGATTGGTTGGTTGTTTTCAAAGAGAAATAGAATGATCTCATCGCCTTTACTCATGCCCTGATGTCATCACACACAGCTAACGGAATGCGCAGTTGAAGAGCTCGTTAATTCAAGGTGTGAAAAATTGATGTCCATGAGTTTTATAGCCATCAAACACGCGAAGTGTCATCGGGCATATTGTTTTCAATTCCCAGGCTTTCGTTAGTGCCAGAGTGATTTTAATGAGTTACATAATTATGTGCGTTGCTCACCGAGGACTGGTGTCCTTGCAACGAACAGTCAGGCTGGGTTAAATTTTTTTATGTAAAGGTATTAAACATAAATCGATATATCGAAGAACGGCATTGATCGGGAAAACAGAACTAGGACGAGAGGGAAAATAAGAAGTCTATTCAGCTCCTAAAAAGGAACAGACGATTTTTGCTTCGTGTAAACCTTGTGTTTTTTTCTTTATAGAATTTTCGACACAATTTAGACCATTATGACACGGTTACTTCCACCCTGTATGACAGGTCAATCCTGCTTGAGTGAGATGCAGGATCACAGCAGAAAGACAGAGGTACTCGATGAGATAAACTTCCAGACTTAGGAATCGAATTTCGACTTCTGGGTGCAAGAGTAAAGAGCCTTGCCACTACACAACAGACACGGATGGAAACGACCCTGTGATATATAAAAAAGTTTTTTTTAAAGCTATCGTTAGCTATGTACTGGTGGACCTAAACTGTCAGTTTAACAGCTGGAAAAAAAATAAAAAGACAGCAAATAAAAATAACTTTGATGAAAGGAAGGCGTATGAGAGAATCTTCTTAATTCCCACTTTGAAAGTAACACGAAGTGGGAGACTATTGCTCTGCTGTGCAATAAAAGATGATAC